GCTATTGCCCACAGTTTCTCCCCACATCGGCCCTGCCCCTATTCGGGCTCTTGCATTCGGTCCCACAATTAGTTGGAGCAGTACAGAGATTTTTGTCTGGGTGTGACAGCAGGGAGTCCTCCTGTGCTGGGGCAGACTGGAAGGAGACATGTCCTCCCACTGCTGGGCCAGCTCCTCTCTGCATTAGACTGTGGGTGGGCAGTGCACAAGGTTACTGATCTTTGAGTTGACTGACAAAAATATTTTCTACGTTGCCAGACCAAGGCTTTTTTCAAGTCAAATCCACTCTTCCTGAAGGGTTTCAGCTTCATAGATGCCCCCAGATTTCACCAAAGGGCACAGCTGTTGTAGCAGGCACATTCTTGAGTGAGTTCTTCTAACTATCTCATAATCAGCACCTTGAATGATGCAGCTAGAAGAGTGTCTCTGGTTTTTTTTCCCACATTTTATCTCTGTGTGCTGGCAAATACTATGGACTATTTGCAAAAGAGAAGAAAAAAATGTTAATGCTTTAAAAATAGAAATATAGAGCTGGAGTGTTGATATCAAGGTGGTTTAGTACTTGACTTTGAAATTATTTCTTGCCCATCTTTTTTTCTAATCAACTGCATAGTGAATTTGCATTGGGAGACGTACCCTCTCCATGGGTGCATTGTGTTGCACCGCAGGTGGAACAGAGTGGGAGTGATCCATCCTTTTGCTGTATTCTCCCTGTATTACTGAAGGAGTAAAAATACTCTTTTCCAAAGCATTTAAAAACGGTCATTCCTGTGGTTGCAACCATGTTGCAGGCACACAACAAAATTTGGGGAGAAAATGGAGTGAGTTTGTGAAGGAAAACAGGAAGTATGCAACAAAAACATGTGAAGTGCACTTGTGAACGTCCTGCCCGAAGCTCAACATCAGTGAGTTTGGGGGTCTTCATTTTCAATGCCCTATGTCGCCAAAATTTCGTGAAATGCTGAGCCTTCACCATTATGTCACCAGGACACCTGTAAAGTATTTAGAGCTGATTAGAAGATCTCTAGTTGCTTTATAAAATCTTGGCTCTCCATCTTAAACTGTGCTGCAGTTTCCTGTGGTATTCCCAAACTGCAGAACATTTCAGGTACTCGGGTGGCTCCTGCCCATGCTGAACATCAGTGACATGAACTTGCGTGTCCATGCATTCAGAGTCGTTAACTACAAAGATGAAAGTGTCTAGTCCTTGACTTCAGTAGTTTTGATTGTGGCTGGCGTGTCTCAGAAAACATAGTTTCCTACTAATGAAACAGGAATTATTTTACTGTGCAATGTATTTTGGAAGTGATTGTGTTGAATGCTTCGTACCTCTTCACTGTTTTTTTTTGTCCATTACTGCTACTTAAATACTAGCATCCACAAAGTGAACACTAATGCACACTGGTCACTTGAGTCAACCTAGGTCTCAAGGAATGATGAGAAAGATATTAAGAAAACAAAACTTTAACTGAGAAAACAACTTAAGTGAATTACTCCCTGGTAACATTACAAACTAAGGTTTGTGTTTAGGTTTGGTTTTTTTTTTTTTTGGACTTGATTCTCAGTAGCAAGAGATGGAAATCCCTTCTTAGTTGTAGCAGCCAAATCTGTTCCAGACCCCCTCTGCCCTCCTGGGGAGGGTTAGCCCTAAGGCAGCCCCCAGGGGGTCTGTCCCCTGATGGGGGTCTGTGGGACTCTGCTCCCCAGAGACCAGCACCTGGTCTCTGACCAGCCCAGGAAAGCTCCTCCTGCTTCCCTGTGAGTCCAGCAACGGCTGTGTGCAACTGAGGGCAAATTTTAGCTGCATGTGCTTGGGTGCCAAAGGCGAGTTTGGGAGGAAGAAAGCCATTCTTTCCCTCTGAGAAGTCAAAGTGGCTTCTGGTCATGGCTCAGGTAAGGCCAGCAGTGACACCACTTCAAATGCTGGCCCCTTAAATAACAATTAATATCCAGAAGATTAAGGTGGCCACGGAAGAACCTCTCAGCTCTTGGTTTTATGCCAGTTATGGAGAGGGAGCAGAAGCATAGTGGAGTTAAGTGTTGCCCTACAATTACATTCGGTGCCTGTGAGAAAGCCTGATCACTTTTTTTTTTTTTTGCTTCAGCTTCCGACACCCTTCCCTTCCAAACCTCTGGGGCCTCTTAATTACACTGGTGTATGGACCAAATCTATCTTCTTTTGGATGTGGCATGCTTTTGCCCCTTGTTTCTCTGTGCCCGCTGCCTAGCTTAGTGGGTGGGTAGGCAGGCAGGAGAGGGCCAAGTGCTCGGGTCTGTGCTCCCAACTGGCCATCACTGTGACCGTGCCGCTCCATAAAACCACCTAACACCAGTCCTGAGCAGTGCCAGCCTGGCATTGCCCAGTGGTCATGTCTTGCCTGGATGTGTTTGGGCACCCCCAGCCAGTACCACAGCGTGGTGGTCCCGGCTCCCTTCTGGCAGCGCCCCTGCCCTGAGCTCGCTGTCCGAGGGGACGATTTGACATACAGTCCTGCTGCCCAAGAGAAACATGAGTCCAATACAGCAATACTTCTTGGAGGGTGTTCAGCTCTTACTTTTTCTTATGGTTGATCCTATGAAAGATGATGTTTGCTTAAAAAATTATTAAAAAGAAAAGAAAAAGGGGAATAGTGGTATGAGCAGCAGCTGCAGGGAGGTGTGTCTGTGCCTAAGCACAAGAGGCTTTGTCCCACCGGTGGCCTCCTCACACGGAGGTGCAGCACTGTCAGCTATGTGGTGGGTCTGTACAAATACAGGGGGACAACCTGAAACCATGACTGCAATAATATAAACTGGATTTAAGTGCCGTCGTCTTCACATATATGTTCTCGGTCCCTTTTTTAGTCATTAGGGAACAAGACAAATTAATGCCAACAGAGGCTGACTCAAACCTTTGCCCTCATTTAAGAGATTCCAAAAAACAGTTTTGTTACGTGCTGGAGCCAGCTGCCCTACAGCAGCTCGACTAGAGCAGTCTCCGGTGTTTAACCAACATGAAAGGCAGCGTGTTGCTAAAATTGCCAATGACCAGTACTGATCTCATATACATCTACTTGACTAGGACTGAATTTATTGCCTTTATGTATTTTTAGCAGACTGACTTTTTTCACCCCTCTTTCTAAGATAAAATGTCAAGAATTAAAAAACTCAGCATAAAAGTAGGAATATAAAAAAACCTGTCCAAGCAAGCCAACCAAAAAGCAGTCAAGGATAAAATAAAATTAAAACATTCCACTTGGCTGTTTTGAGTAAGGTACATGAAGTGCTAACTTAGCTTATCTAGTTTTGGGGCAAAACCCTCCCAAATGTACATAGATTCCAATGTTACAACAAGATATATGTGTGTAAGAGTGAAACTGTATTTAGGATAACTATGTTCAGAGTTTTTCTATTAAGAGAGAGGTCAAAATGGGAACAAAATGGTGGTTTATAGAACGCAAAATGGTAGGTGAGCCCCTAGGAGAAAGCATGTGTGAGGGAATAGTACCAATAGCAGCTTCAAGAAGCTCACAGCTTTGTATCTTGTTTTTTCTCTATCATTTTGGAATTGAATATTATGTGACGTGGCCTTTATGCTAACATAGGCTTTTTGGAAAACGTATAACTGTGTCTTAAGTACGATTTTTCGAAGGAAGTGGCCAAATTCCATGTTCCTCTGTTAGTAAACTTGCAGATTAACAGGACCAGAAATGTGCGCTTCTGTGGAGTACGCATTTGTTTATGGTCTGAATATAAAATCAAAATTGGTCAAGGTGTACTACCTGTGTAAATTATCTTCTCTGTTCCTAATGCCACATGATGTCACCATTGATATCAACCTGATAGATAAGCTTACAGGATGCCAGAATTCCTTACTGGATTGAAAAAACATAAAATCAAGAATCTTGTGATGGAAAAAGTAAATACTCAGTGTAAAGGCTCGCTGGAGCAGGTTCCAGGGCCTAGGTGCACAGGTCACATCTGGTCAATAGGGACTGTGCTTGTGGCTTTGCAATATGGTTTGGATTTCAGTTGCAGAATTATGTAGAATTTGTATCTGAATCCAATGTAATTTAAATAAAAGACATATATTGTTTAGTGCATGGAATAAATACTTTTCATGAGGAAATAAGAACCCATGATTTATATTTGTTTGGTGTCACAATGACAGAGCAGGCAGGTGGAGATGATCAACTTTTGCAATTAAACAGAAGAATTTCTGCAGTTACTGCTTTCAAATGCCCAGTCTGACATTAGTAAAACTGACATTGATTTCAGTAATGGCAGTATCAGGCTCCGCTTGTTGTCAGTTGATCTCTTAGCAATTTTTAAGAATGTAAGAATCAAATGACGTTTTATAATTCTTAACAGGCAGAAGGTTATAGATTCGTCGTGTGTAAGTGCTGAGCACCTGGCTCTGACAGCTTTCACATCAGCAAGCCTTAAATGCAGTTATTAATGACTACCGTGCTACAGAACATGGTTGCACATTATAATGGTATTTTTTAAATTCTGGACTCTGAAAAAACTTAAGATATCACTCGGTTCTGAGTATGGCTAATATGTAAGTATTTCAAAATTACATTAGTCAGGCAATTTTCCCTTTGTAGAACAATTCTTCACTATGACCTGTTCCAGCATACATTTCAAAAATGACCTCTACATTTATAATGACAATTTTGCACATGCAAGTTGTTGTGAATGTACAAAATTTCAAATATGACTACTTAGCAGCTAGTGATATTTAAGCTTCTATTAAAATTTCACATGAACTTACTGTTACCTTTTCAGGAAGAAATTGCAAACAGAAATCCCATATTTAGGTTAAAACGTTGGGAAAATCTCTTTACTACATTTCCACCTTATGAATTATTTTATAGAAAACAGTAAGTTCTTTCTCACCAGTGCAGAAGTCTGTTTTAATACTTAATGTCATAGCGGACCTAGTTTTCTGATGGCTTTGCTTTCCACTTGGCTTGTTTTAGCAATCACAACTTATTTTTGTTCTTTTTCAGTTGAAGAGGGTGAATCTTCAGATTTTGCTTTGACCTGGGACTCATCAGTGACTCAATCAGGTAAATATTTTAGGTTCTTCTGATTGCAAAAACTGCCAGAAAGCTGCCAGGCTTTTTACAGGAACTGTATTTTGTATGTCACATTCCTGTCTCAAATCCAAGACTACCCACTGCAACACAATTTTTATATCAGTTCCATATGGTCAATAAAATCTATTACATACAGAGACTAATATACTCTTATCCTCCAGAGAGCCATTCTTTCTTCTTGTGGGCACACTGAAACGGGTTGTGATTTCTCCAGTATAACCACTTTGAAGTTTTCTGCGATGGGCACTGTTGCACATTCATTCCAATCTAATTACATAAAAGCTACTTTAATAGGAATTTTAAACTTCAGCTTCAACTGGAATGTGTGTATTTCTCCTCTTGGAGGAAATTGGAAAGTACTGTCAGGGCTGGAGAATAGAAGCGCTACACCACCACGGTAGAAAGATTTAACATTTGAACCAGCTTTTGGTCTGCTTGATAGTAATAACACTTAAACGCTTTTCAGCTGTGATACATTGATAATCAGAATAAAAAGAGCGTCGAGAAACCAAATGGGAAAAAGCAAGTTTGTCTGTATTTGTGTAATGTGTATTGATAAAACAAACGTGAGGGTAAATGTTAGATTAGTTTGCACTTAACTAACCACATTTCAGTCATTGTTTGTGTCCTGTGTAAAGATCTTTTACTGTCTATTATGTCTTTAACATTTATGAAATTCTCAGAATATTTTTGAATTTTATGCCAGTAACTCTTTCTGTGCTGTCTTCGTACTGGACTGCAGTGATGGTATTCTCTTAGAAGCCGAGCAGTGACATGAAAACAGCTCAGCAACTGAGCAGTAATATGAAAATGAACAATGGTGCTGCATTCCTGGTTAGCATGGGTTTTATAAAAGTCACGGGGAGACTGGCTCACAGGAGACTTTTTCTTACTGAAGTCAGCATCAAGCTGGTCTTGAAGGCAAAAGATGCCTTTGCGTGGCACTTCGTGGCATTTCACTTTGTACCAACTGCACTCTCAGTTGCGCTGGGTGCATCTTCTCTGGGCGCTACAGCGGTTGGAACGGTTTTGGGTTTTCACTAGTCTTTGATAGCGAATATTGCTGCTGCTGCTCAAACCCCCAGCTGTGATGTCGAAGGCCCCTTTGTGCCTGGAGCTAACGGCGCATGAAAAGAGCGCTTGCCGGCTCCCTTGCTTGACCTTCGTCTCAAACAGCAGTGGAGCGGAGTTACCGGTGTTATCTATCACAAATCTTGAATTGTATTAAATTGAGGTTCAAAACAACAAAAATCATTTCTGTGCAGAGCAGGAGTTAATCTGGGATTTCTGGATGGTATTGGGAACTACAGTGTAAGTAAAAGACAGCTTGTGAAAGGCTTTTCCCAAATTAGTTGAGTCTCCTCCATTTCTCTTCATTTACTCCCATAATTACAGCTCTCATTCAAGACGTCAGGTGTGGGATAAAATGTATTGTACGTGTGATTTATGGCAGCTTAAGGAAAATGTGTGCTAATGGGGGGGATTTTCCTCTTAATATATTTAGTATTTCCTCTTAATATATTTAGTAGCTACAGATGTCAATCTTGCACAGCATAAAGATGCAATAGAGTATCCTATTGAGATAGGGCGCAGTGCATGGGACAGAGGTTGCAGGCTGGAAGATGACTGAGGAACTACATAGAAAAAGCTTAAAAAGCCCTAGTATGTGGTGGTGCAGCCTCGTGGAGTCACTGGGTCTTGTGTGGTGTGCCTCCAAAGCTATATTCAGTAACTGAAACCAGTCGCTCAGTCCCAGTGTGCAAGACTTTCATTATGTTCTTTTATGATCTTCCTGTTTGCATTAGCTCCAGTAGTGTGATGTTGAACTTCAATAAAGGGTGAAAAAACACGCTTCAACTTTTCGTTTCATGCCCCTTCCTTCCCCAGCCCAAAATGACAAAATTGCCTCCCCTTCCTTGGCCCCCCCAACAGAAGAAAAACCAAAAGGCCAAACTTGGGACTTGTTAACTCTGAAACATTTGCCAGATGTTTCAAATTAACATATTTCTCTCCCTTCTTCTCCTGTGTGTGTTTGTACATCTCTGTGTGTGTGCAAACACATACAAAGCGACTTCTGAAAAATTCTGTTGGCACTCTGTGCAGCTGCTGTGGGCCGGGGGAGCGGCGGCCCCAGGATGGTGCAACACATAGGGACAGCAAGAGCAGGTAGAGTGTCCTCTGTAAACTTTTTTTTTTAATACTAGCAAAGTATTTATATAGATGCAGTTGTGGGGAGAGAAGGTGCTTTTGCTGCTCTATCTTATCTTGTTCATCAAATCAGTAGAAGCTATACTGTATTTTTTTTTTTTAATGTGAGTGCGAGTTGAATCTGCAGTTGTGGGGTTGTCCATGTAGCTGTCTGTCCCCAGGACAGGCATAAGCCTTTGTAGGTGCAGGGCAAGACATGTCAGATACTGGTGTGTTGCCTCTTGATTGTTGGCCGGCTTCTCGGCTACTGAAGGTGCAGGGTTTGTGCATCCCTTACTGTGCCGCAGTGCTGGGTGAGGGGCTCCTCGCAGGAGCAGCTGGTGGAGATTTGGCAGTGGACATGTTGGCAACAGAAATCCTGTGCTTGGGTTTGTTCGGTGATGGCTTAGCACAGAGTACCATCCTTCTTCCCATGGTAGGGTATGTGCACAAGTTGCTGTCTGCTCTGGCTTAACTGCTTGATTGTGGTAAAAATCTGTGAAAGTAAAATGCTTTGCAGGAATCCAACCCTTAGCGTAGTTTCACTGAGGAATTTATTCAAGTATTTTTAGATACAACTACAAATAGTTTTATGTTTTTTTTTTTTTAACCACAATGTAAAAGCTGTGTGTAGTAACTTAGAGAATCAGGAAAATGTATAAGGAGGCAGAGGCTGCCCTCACGCCAGGGTAAATAACCCGGGTGTCCACCAGTCCCCTTTAACAATGGGCATATAGCGAATTTCCTTCCTCTTCAGGTCATGTAAACATTTTTTCCTTAATGTAAAAAGAAGAAAAAAAGCTTTTCCTTTCCTCTCTTGATCTGAGGACTTAGCTTTGCTGTTAAATAGCAGGTCATTAGTCTTTTGCTGTGTAAGAGGCAGAGATGTTTTCCGTCCCAGCAGAGGAGCGCAGCCAAGTGTTCCTTCCCCCTTCTTTTCCCTCTTAACAGCAAGTGCAGCCCTTAAAGCCCGTCTGTCCCACCCCGCAAGCGTTAGGGAGGGTGGGCTGAGCAGGGCTGCTGGGGGGCCAGGCAAGCGCCCGCCTCTGCTTTGCCAAAGGGTTTTCTGCTCCTTCAAAGCCAAGAGGAAAATAAGATTCAATATTTGCCTGGCTGGACCCTTGCTTTGCAATGCTGCATTGCTGTTGTAATGCATCACGAGAGTATTATCTTGAGGAGCAACGAGGGACACTTTAAAGAAGTAAAAAGTCTTACTAAATATATAGAGAATTTAAGGCATTTTAAAGACCTATGAAAGCATTTTACATGGGGGTTGCTGGGGAGTTTCTCATTAGCCTGACTGAGGCCCTAGGGAAGCTCAGCTGAATTGTCTGGGGCAAACAGAGCAGATTCTGTCTTCTCCTTAGGAGCCTGCAGACCTAAAAGCCTCATTTTTGTGTGTGTGTGTCTGCTTTTGAGGTAACTGAAGGTATCTTATTTCTGTACGCAACTATAAGTTATGATACTGATCAAGAAAGAGTTAGGGGAAATAGGGGACTGTGGACACGTACCCTGAGGCAAATGGCACAGGGTCTGTCTTGGTTCACGTGTGTTTGCAGAACATGGGAGGATCTTTGTAGTGTTCGTGACTGGAAGGATCTCGCCAGTGCCTAACCACCCACTAGCACATGTTAGTATTATTCAATTACAACATGCCAGAAATCATGAAAATAAATTACAGGTTGGTATATCTCCCCTTCCTCGAATTCCTTCAGGTTCCCTGTCCCTGCCACTGAGCTCGCTGCAGCGACTGGGCACACATGCGAGGGACGCGTTAACAAAGTGCAGCACGGAAAAAGACCACACCAACACAAAGTTTTAGGACACAGACATTTGATGTTTTGCCATTAAGAGTTCTCCCACGTGCTTTTTTTATACAGTACACTACTTTAGATTTTTAATTGCCTTCTGTAACTTCTTTTGAAGTTTCCTCCTTTAAGGAGAGAGAAAAAAAAAGAAAAGGGGAAGCAGCAGCTTTTGAGAAACAAACCACAAAATAAAAGAAAACCACCCTGTGGTCACTCTTTTTCCCCTCTCTTTTGCTTTACATGGCATTTCTCAGCTATGTAAATCACAATTTTCACTTGGTATCTTCAGAGGAGGAACATCTTGATGTAATTTGGAGACTTATTTTTGCTCAGGGCTGTCAAAATTGGTACTGGGGCATTTTTAAGGCTGCCTCTGCTGCTTGGGCCTCTCCCTGCCTGATCCCTTCTGGCTGTTCCCTGTGGTCTCCTCCACCATCGATCTTCTGATCCCGGCACTGCTGCTGTCCACCTCCCAGGTGTTTAACATTTCTGTTCTCCTCTTACTGTTTTGTAGGGTTGGGTTTAATTTTGGCTGCCAAAGGAGCAAAAAGGATGAGAAAGCCAGGGTCTCATGAAGCGAATGCAGACTTGCCCCTGCAATTATCCGTGTGTTAACTTTTTCCCCTTTTCTGTTTATTCAGATAAGCTACAGAAAACGTTTTCTCCTTCCTCACCTTTCCCCTTTTGAAGGCCTGTTTTGGCCGCACAAAGTTTGTTGTCCCCTCAGCCTTCTTCCAGCACCCCAGGCTTGCACGCCCTGGCACAGTCCACTGCCTGGTGCCCACCAAGGCCACCATCCTCACAGAGCCCCATCCCCTGTGGTCTCACAGTACCCAGGGCTGTCCCTGCGCTCTGCCTGTGTCCCCCTGGCAGCTCCCACATAGCCCCTGCTGGTGCTGCTCCAGCTGCACAACCCACTGGGCATGGGCTGTGTCAGGATGTTACGGTTTGAAGAACCCGCAGCAATTTATTGTC